TCTTTTGAAAATTTGTTGACAATTATCCAAAAGCCAAATAATGCAGATTATAACCACAAATTTATTTCTTCGTGTTGGTGCCAACCCACATCGATTAGGAAACGGGAGTTTTGGTCACTTACATAGTAGAAGGACACTCTCACCACTTAGAGGCGTATTTTCAAGACAAAATCGTGTTACATAGTAGAAGGACACTCTCACCACTTAGAGGCGTATTTTCAAGACAAAATCGTGTGGGTCCTAGAACCCAAAATGGATAATACTTTTAGGAATCCATCTACTATGTATCTAAATCCGGCATACATCAACACGTTTTCTTGCTCTTTTTCTTTAAAGGAAAAGTTGATGGGATGAAATCATTTACAGAAAAAGTAAAAATAAAACGTGTGATTAATAGATAGTAAGAGTTAGATAAATCAAAATGGATTTGTTCTGATTTGGTGTTAGAGTTCATGTTAAACTCTAATTAATAATGTAGTGGGCAAGTGAAGTTTTTGGCTCTTTTATTTATTTATGTTGATGATGGAAGAATTTTTGGAAGTTTGATGTGGTGGTGGCTTTAATTTATAATCTTCCGGGAAACATAAAAGAAATTTGCTTTTGGCTTCCAAAATTGTGGAATATAGAGTAATGTTGTGGGTCAAAATTATGATTACTAGGCAGGGCAACGGAGAAAATTCCATGAAGACCATTTTTCAAAGCACGGTATATAAAACATCTTTAATTGACACATATTTTGAGTAATTGTCAAAAACAAGTGGAAATAATATTTCGAGATTCGTTTGAATAAGCAGCAGAAAATTCAAATCTAACTTTACCAAAGAGAAATCTCTACTTCTCCATTTGAAGCCATATATTGTCGGGATTACAGTGAGTACTCGTACTTTCAGCCAATAATGTAAACAATCTAGGGACCAATAAGAATATAATTAGTAAATCACTAGACTTTACCGTTAGATTTGTCCTTTTAATAAATCCTTCGCCTTTGGGAATTTAACATTATTGAAGTAGCGACATATGGCCAAACCCGTAAAATTAAACCAAAATCTCTTAGTGAACTGGAGATATAAATTAACAATAGAGTTTGTGACATAGCCAATAGGAACAGTGTTTTTAGCCTTAGTGAAATGGAGATATAAATCAACAATAGAGTTTGTGACATAGGCAATAGAAACAATGTTTTTTGCCCTAAAGAATGTAAGAGAAGCATTTGGTTAAAGAGAACATAATTTCAGATTATGTTGAACTTAAATCTCGTAGAGTTATGCTCTGGTCAAACCAAATCCTTTTAAGGTTGAGTTGTTTTGAACTATTCTCAAGGAAATTCAAGAAATTTTATCTTAAATATACAGTAAAACTTTTCTATAGTCGTAATGATGGGACTAACTAATTTTATTATTATGATTAATGAAAGTGTAGTTACAAAAATTATTGTTTTGATTTCTTATTTTATAATTCCTGTTTTAGTAATACACTATTAGGATTTTAATTCATATTTCAGTAGTATTAAAATTTCAATTCAACGCTTCAATTGCCTACTTTTGAAACGGATAGAAGATCTTGTCTTGGAACCAGCAAAAATAAGTATCATTGATAGAACTGTAAATACAGTTAATGCATGGTTAATTGATATGAAGTCACAGACAATTACCAATGATTTTAAGCACTAAAATATTAAAACCCTCAATGTTGATGAATTGTAAATTACAAATGAAGTAAATGAGGAGAATAAAAGAGTCATTGCAGAATTGAATGATCAGATTCGACAACTTCAATATACTAATCGAATGGATATTAATGTCTTCTTCGATCATTCAAATGAGTATCAAATCGTGTATATTTTAACCAAATAAGAAATCATTGTTACAATTAGACAAGAAGAGAAAGGAAATAATCTCGAGGATAACAGTACGGAAATACAAAAAGTTCTGTGTCATAAAACTCTAAACATGTTTGAGAAGCTAAAAATATTTTGGCTTCAACGAGAAAGTGTTTATGCTAGTGAGTTAAAACGTACTCGCAAGGTAAAAGATGTGGCAACAACTCTAAAACATAAATCATTATCCCAAACAACTTTAGATAAATATTTTATTTTATTTTAAACCTTTAATGTAAAATAACATATATATTTTTGCAATATACAGATAATTATTACTATGTAGAGACAACTTTCCTTAAGATAGGAATTAGAAAAATTATAACTTATTACAATGTGTAATTTATTTTTATTTATAACCATCTCAAATTAGGACTATAATTTTTTATAATTATGTAGAGTTTATTCATATATAGAGTATCATTATAAAGAGATTTTATTGTATTTGCCGTTTTCTTTTCCTAATTAGACTCAGAAGTATTTAAAATTAACCCAAAATACTCTCTTTTTGCTGCCAAATTTCCACCTCTCAACTTGATTTCAGAAAAAATTTCTCAACAAACGATACCCCAGTTGTTTATATTCTGCGGAATCAAGAAGCTCTTTGACAGAAAAAAAATAAAAAAATAATAGCTGTAATATATAACAAAGCACAAAGAAGAATCAAGAATATTTTTTCACCACTGAAAGCAACTCAGATACCTTCAAAATGTATAAATGGACCCCGGGAATCTTTAAAGTGAACAGGAAAATATTGCCAAACAAGTACTCATGCATGAAAATTCCAGCCAAAAACAAACAAACTTTATTTAATTTCTTTTGAAAATTTGTTGACAATTATCCAAAAGCCAAATAATGCAGATTATAACCACAAATTTATTTCTTCGTGTTGGTGCCAACCCACATCGATTAGGAAACGGGAGTTTTGGTCACTTACATAGTAGAAGGACACTCTCACCACTTAGAGGCGTATTTTCAAGACAAAATCGTGTTACATAGTAGAAGGACACTCTCACCACTTAGAGGCGTATTTTCAAGACAAAATCGTGTGGGTCCTAGAACCCAAAATGGATAATACTTTTAGGAATCCATCTACTATGTATCTAAATCCGGCATACATCAACACGTTTTCTTGCTCTTTTTCTTTAAAGGAAAAGTTGATGGGATGAAATCATTTACAGAAAAAGTAAAAATAAAACGTGTGATTAATAGATAGTAAGAGTTAGATAAATCAAAATGGATTTGTTCTGATTTGGTGTTAGAGTTCATGTTAAACTCTAATTAATAATGTAGTGGGCAAGTGAAGTTTTTGGCTCTTTTATTTATTTATGTTGATGATGGAAGAATTTTTGGAAGTTTGATGTGGTGGTGGCTTTAATTTATAATCTTCCGGGAAACATAAAAGAAATTTGCTTTTGGCTTCCAAAATTGTGGAATATAGAGTAATGTTGTGGGTCAAAATTATGATTACTAGGCAGGGCAACGGAGAAAATTCCATGAAGACCATTTTTCAAAGCACGGTATATAAAACATCTTTAATTGACACATATTTTGAGTAATTGTCAAAAACAAGTGGAAATAATATTTCGAGATTCGTTTGAATAAGCAGCAGAAAATTCAAATCTAACTTTACCAAAGAGAAATCTCTACTTCTCCATTTGAAGCCATATATTGTCGGGATTACAGTGAGTACTCGTACTTTCAGCCAATAATTTATCTTTTTTTTTTTTAATTGTCTAAAATTTACTATTTTATCCAATAATTTGTGAGAATCTTTCAGGTTTTTTTTTTTTTTTTTTTTTTTGTGTAAGTAGATAATAACGGGTGATTTGTATTTAAAATAGGTAAAAAAAAAAAAAAACGGTAACTACCTAACGCAATACACCACTAAAAATCAAAAAATGAGATTTTACTTCGTTTATTTTCATATTACACCATAAAATCAATAAAGTAATGCTTAATTGAATTGAAATAAGCCACAATGACTTTTCAAGATTTAGTATATATATATAAAAGCTAGTGAAATACTGAAAATCTGTGCATTTAGCAAAATGAGTATTTATGTAGAGTAATTTTCTGAGCGCAAATGGTCCAAACAAAAATAAAATAAATTAAACAATTAATTAAATAAACAAAGAAAACAATTAACAAAAATAAAATAAAATCGCAATAATACAGTGAACATACCTGTATGCAATGCAATTAGAGCTTAATAAAGTTGTGCAAGTTGAGAAGAGCTATATTTAAAGTTCTTCAATGGTGGCTTAAGTTTATCACAGAGAAAGAAGACTGTATATGGCTTGAGTATATTAAAGAAGAATGTCAATAATAAACTAAATGAGACACTTTGAGTTTCATAATTAATGAAAGGACAGTGGGTATCATTATCATCAATTTGTGTAATTTTGCCATCCATAAATTTATGGCGGATAATGAGTTTTCATAATGAGAAAAGCTATATTTAAAGTTCTTTAATGGCGGCTTAAGTTTATCACAGAGAAAGAAGATTGTATTTGGCTTGAGTATATTAACGTAGAATGTCAACAATAAACTAAATTAATGTGGGTTAAGTGGGTATCATTATCATCAATTTCTGTAATTTTGCCATCCACAAATTAATTAATTAATCGACTCACCTCAACCGCAACCACTTAACTCTCTTTTTTGAGTGGTATCAACTGAGTTTTACCTAATCAAATTACGAGTTTAAATTCCCTTTAACTTCAATATAATATAGAAAATTTAACTCTATTATTATTGTTTTTTTCTTTTCTTCTTTGTTCTTTCCTGTCCAATGTACAATTTCCATGAAATATATATAGTTATATAAAACACTCCAATTTCGTTCAATTTTAGAAACTGAATAGTTAGGAATGTAACAATTCAAACAATGAGCATATAATAAATTAAATGCATGCGGAGCCCGAGTTAACCCTAATATTAATTCATTATAGGAGTTTTATTTGGATTCAAATCCTAATAAACTTAAGTAGGGTTAATTATATGTATTTTATTTGGATTCATATTCTTACGTAAGTGAGGTTATAGTTTCTTATAAATTAATGAGAGTCGGACATGGTTTCTTATAATCTTTTTTTTTTTTTTTTTTAAAGAAACTTAGAGCATGGAAGATGTAATAGCAGTATGGCCAATAGGGTATCGCTTTAAGCCAAAGGAAGATGAACTTGTGAAATTTTTTCTTCAAAGAAGAGTGAGAGGAGAGCCCCTGCCATGGAGTCCCATTATGGAATGCAATCTTTACGGAAACGAGGCTCCATGGGAGATTTTTGACCAAAGTAATGGTCAAAAAGTGTGGTATTGTTTTACAAAATTGAATAACACCGGCAAAAGCAAGAAAAGGGTTTCCAGAACTGGCGGGGGTGGAACTTGGCGCGGCGAGAAGTCTGGTGTTGAGATTGTTGACAGTGAAACCAACAGAATAATTGGTGTGCAGAAAACTTTTGTGTTCAAGATTAAAGGAGTTACTGATAAGCTTGTTAGTTGGATAATGCACGAGTTTTCTCTAGTGGAGAAGAAAGGTGACGATATTGTGCTTTGTAAATTGAAGAAGAAAACTAAATCTAGCAATCAAATATAAGATTCAGATGTTGATCAAGTTTTATAAAAGAAGATTGGGAGCTTAAGGTGGATGAGTATGTGATGCAAGAAAGAGAAGAGTCTACCGTTTTTTCATCAAATTTCATTGTCATTTAGTATCATAGGTTGAGAGTTTCATCAAATTTCATTGTTACTTAGTATCTTGAGCTGGGTGTTTTGCACCCGAAAGACTAACTCTAATCCTGTGACCTCCTCGTTATAGGTGAGGTCTCCTGCCTACCCGTCCACCTCACCCTCGAGTGAACCCACAATTACATATGGATGTTCTTATGCGTGGAAGTTTGACGAAACACTTTGAAAGAGAGATCAGAGTCGACTCTAATACCACTTATCACGGATTGGGAGTTTTGCACTCAAAAAACAAACCCAACCCCACCCCCGCCCCCGCCCCCAAAAAAAAAAAAAATATTCACATCGATGTGGGGCATGTGACATTAGGCTAGACTAGATCAGTTTAATAATTAAAGCTTTACTGTTTCATTCTTTTTGAATTTTTTTATTCTGTTTTGTGGTTGCCTCCACTGTAAGTAAGATCATATTGTAATAGAGAGTTGTATTTTGAATTTTATTAATGGATAAACTCTTTTGTATTCAATATAATACTGTTGTCAAAATTTTGTCAGATTAAACTCTTTATCTAGATAATCACTCCGTAGTTTTCAAACAATGTGCAAGTGAATCAAAATGCCTACCAATTAGTATTGTTTATCATGACATAAACAAGTTTGAGCCTATCGAAGGAGAAATAAAATGGCTAAAAATTTATAAATTTTTTTTTTTATAATACGTCAACACAACAGTACGGGGCAAATATAATTCTAAAAGTTAATTAGTAAATTATCCAGAACAAAAATTATCCATAGAAAAAGCACAACTAAAGTTTCAGTTCCGTAACAGTTACAAAGTACAAAGGACCAGATTAAACTCTTTTTTCTGGTCTCTCTTTTAGGATTTAAACAGAAACACATGGCATCCCTGTTCCAGTTTTGCTCAAGACATTAATGGAAGATTATGCGCATATGAATCCAAATAGCCAATGTCCCCTGAAACATTACATAACAACCTCAATTCACAATTCTTCAACTCCCAAAAGGTTACTGTATTAATAGGGAGATTTCTAATTATCGTCGTGTATTATCACCATATTCTCTTGATTCTCTTTTTTCCCATCCAATTCTGTGTTTACCAGTTCTGAACTAGCACTATCATCTCCTGCTTGTTTGTCGGTAGAATCTCCATTCATGATAGGCAGATTGTCCTTGGCCTCCAACTCTTTGGAGGCCAAGGATGCATTGTCAGCTTCAGCACTAGGAACTTCCATGACATCCTCATTAGCTGAACCACTATATTTTACAGTTTCTTGGGCGACCACGTCTGGATTGGCTTCCACAACATTTTGCCTCACATCTGCATCAGGTGTTAAATGATCTTCCCCTGACTCAACATCCACGTGAGCACCGTCTATTTGTGGGCCTGGATTTTCACCATGAGATGGCTCAACTGGCATAGAGCTTCCAAGTTCCCCTGAAGGTAAAGATTCCGGGGCTTCTGAATTTTGCTCAATGGCTTGATTTGCTGCAGCCGCCTCCAATGCATGCTTCTCTGCAGCAATTTCTTCTTGTTTTTGTGCCTGTACTCTGTATTCATTTATGTGACGGCTTACTCTTTCCAGCTCAGCCAAGAGATCTCCATAGCGCTTTTGTAATGTTTGCTCAAGCTCCTTTTGCTTCTGAACTTCTTCCCACAGACCATTTATTCTGTTTGATGCTGCCAGTTGCTCTTGCTTCTGCAACGCTTGGAAACACTCAAGTTCTGTTCCAGCAGTCTCCATCTGTTTGACGGTCGCTTGTATTTGGTTTCGCAGATTTTCAGCCCGTTTCTGATCATTCAGAATGTCAACAATTTAGAAATCTAAAACTCTGATTTCAAACAACAGCCATGACTGATAAAGACAGCTTATAATTGGGCTTAATCCACATAATCTACTAATCATTTGATTATCTTTCATATTATACAAATTAAATTAACTTCGAAAAATTCTAAACTAAAGGAGAAAAAAATTTGTTTCTTATTCATAAAATTTAGAAATCAGCAATAAAAATAGAGTAGGGTCTGATTTTTATAAATATGCCGGTCCAACTCCTACAGCTTGTCTGATCAAATACTATTACATCCTATGCTGATCTTCATTAATATCTAAACAACTCCCCATCATCTGTAGAATCATTACTTGTAGATCTTCCAATACGATGATGCTGAGCTACAAAACTAATTCAAGTCAAAGCTTACTTATCTTCAAATACATATAATACAGGGCATTAAACAGCTATAGGCCTCTGTATTATTTATGTTTGAAAAAGTAATAATAGCAGTAAACAGTTGTAGTCCTATGTACTATAATTGCATTTTATTTTGCCCACATGCAAGAAATGCAAGAAATCATATTTGGTGGACCATTCAAACACAACACAACCTAAACTCTCAAAGAAAATACATAACCATTAACAGAATAGAAGCAAAAAATTCCAACCAAATTAATACATATAATAACAGAGAAATGATCAGCAGGCATACCACAGCATACCTCATAACCTTGTGTGAGAACTTTGACTTTTTTCTCAAGGTGTAAAGCCTTCTCCTTATCATCATCCATCTTCTTCTTCACAATCTCAAATTCGCTCTGATAGGCTGCAAGTTTCTCCATGTTTCCAGCTACACTTGAGAGACCATAAGCATTTCGGGTGGGGAAGTACATGAGATCGTTTAAACAAGTATTGTGTGCTTCCACAAATTCATCAAGGGATTCATTTTCATGCCCCATTGCTACACGAAGATACTGAGTCTCTTCCTTTATCAAAATATCAGCCTGCAACAAGACCATAAATAAAGCCAAATGCATCACAAATAGAGGACTCATGGAAAGAAGGCATCATTTGAAATATTAAGTGCTTGTATCATAAGAGTATGGCTGTTGATTATAACAAAATACAAAAGGTAATGAAAAAAAAATTCGCCTAAAGCTAAATTATGAGATATATGACCCAAACTATACAGCAGAACTTCAATCAATGCATTAAAATCAGACCTTGCCTATTATCCTATAATTTGAGCACTTCCAGACATAATGATTCAAACCAAATTCAGAACCATTAACAGTTGAAATTTAACCTCAGGCTTGGGCTTAGTGGTAAAGCCCTTGCTTTCACCCAAGAAGTCATGGAATAAAATACACTAGGACCACCAACAAAAGAAACTATATCTCACAAGCTAATTTGCTCCATATGTTGTAAGGTCTGGATGTAACCCACTTTTGAACTCCGTAAACGTATGGGGAAGGTCGAGAGATTTCTAACTGAAAATGTTAAAATATAAATAGTTAAGAATGAAAATTTGAAGAAAACAAGGAGTTTTGAGCAAGAGAAGGATTCTGGCTGGAGTAAAACTGGCATCATTCTATAACCAGGCAACATCAAACCCTTTTTTTATTGCTAGGAACTAAGTTACCATATTAGAACAAAAAAGTATCCAAGAATAGACATTGTCCACAAAACGTACAAGCTGTTTCAGAACCCAAAGGCTCCAAAAACTACACAAGATGTATAAAGCAGCTGCTATTCCAAAAACATAAAAAATCCCTACTCAAAATCTACACAAAATCTTTCCCTAGCGATGCAATTGAAGCTTCCCAATTGTGTTGAACAAAGAAGAAAGAGAATTCCTGGAACTCATAAGAAATAAATGCCCAAATTTTTACTTTATCCCACATTCATAAGACATCTTCCCCGCTTACTTTATCTCATACAGACAACAGATCAAAAATTAAGAGCAACATAAATTATTAGTTGAAGTACTGCTACTTTCTGAATTCATACAAAAGTTCATATGAAAGAAAATAATTTTTTTTTTTTTTTTTTAAATCATAAAGGAAGCAGCTCAGTTCTACCCTTATACTAAAATTGGTGAATGTAGTTAACCTTTAAAATTATTATTTTTCTTTTGTTTTGATCCATACAAAACTCATTGGACAGGCAGCCTTCTCACATCCCATAAATCCCTTGTCCAACTGCAATTTACCCTTACAGCCTATCGTATAGCAACAAGAATGTTTCTTAACCTTAAATAATCAGAAGATGGTACCGCTGAAAAGAGGGGAAAAAGTTTATGGCATAGTCTATCTAGCTATAACTATATGTATACAAGGAAAAGAAGAAATTGTAGAAAGTATGCTGGCAAAAGACGTGACTAAAAACAAACCTCCTTCAGCTCTTCTTCTTCAAAATCTTCAATCACGGGAACAGGAGCAGCAGATCCATTAGCAGAACGCTTGGAGCCCTTCTTTTTCTTCTCCACCTTTTCCTCAAGGGGGTATTTAGCATTATCATGCTCTAGTAGTGTTAGAAGTTCCTTTCTTATCACTTCATCAGCCTGCTCAATAGAAGTGGGAGGAACAAAGGAACTCTTGTCTCCATCAGCCCTCAATAAAGAATTTCTAATTAGTTCCAATGAAGCAACCGGAGGCCGAGGAAGCTCCCTCTGCAGCACTTTTGATCTCTTCCGAAGTAATGCCTGCTGCCTTGCTTCTTCCTCGGCCCTTTCTCTGGCTAACCTATCAGACATGTCTTCTTCAATCTTCTCTTCTGGTTCTTCATTATCTTCTGCAGGTGGCTGGACAACTATTTGGTACTCGTTCTTGGGCTGTGGGAGATTACTCAGACCAGAGCGCAAGTTTCTTCTCAGATCAGCTTGTCTTCTTTGTTCAAGTTTTGCACTGTCATGCATATCCATGTCCTCATTTATGTGGAGCTCATCCCTGATGGGAGTTCCTTTAGGAGTCACACCAAAAGAATAACCATCCCTTGAAGGTGTCATGCCAATTCTGGGAGTAAGTCCCACACCACCAGGTGTTGCGGAAGGAGTCAGCATTGGGTTAGGTGTTTGGATTTCCCTTTTCTTTGGAGTGACCCCAGAAAAATCTGAAGG